CGGGAGCGCCGCCGCACTCCCAAGCGGCGCAGTGTAGCAGTGCGCCACCGGGCCGGCCCAAGGGGGTGCAGTTCTAAAGTTAATCAACATCTCTGTCCTCATCCTGAACTATAAGATTTCTAAGGAACTTAGCTCTGATCATCCCTCTCTCTTCACTCATGTAATTATTGTGTGATATTTTAGTTCTTTATTGTGTTTAACACCCTCCACTTATTAGTCATTCTTATCATTACTTTGCACATTAAATATTTATTTAGTTTACTATTATATCAGTTTTTAGCATCCAGCTAGGTTCAATTTCTTTCTTCTGGAAGAATATTTATTATCAGTTCTTGTAGAGATATCCATAAAAGAGAAATCTCAGGGGTTTTGTGTAAAGATATGTCTATTTTATTCCTACATATAAATTATATTTTATCTGGTTTATTAATTAGCATTTGCCAAACTACCCCAAAACTTACTGGCTTAAAACAACAAACTTCTTTTAATTTTGTTTTCTTGTTTCATTTCTAGCATCTGGATATTTATTTTTCTTTGAATTTGACCTCTGTTTTTGTTGTATCTTATCTGTTTTATTTATGTCTTTGTTGAGGGAGTGTTTATGTCAGCATAGTCCAACAATTTGTAGAAATCTTGCTATTACCTTTTAAAATCACCCTGTGTGCTATTTTGGTGTAAATGATAAGTTTGTCACTGGCCTGGTATTTTCTTCAGCTTCTTAAGTTTTACACTATGTGCACTAGAAAACTTGCAAAAATTGCCACTAGAGTGGGTTCCAAAGAGGAAAGATTGTATATCATAAACAATACTTTAATATGACTGAATACATTTTTGTTTAAAATTCCCACTGAATGTATGCAAAAAGGGGGAGCCCCTGAGTTTCTTACATAATAGTCAATAAATAATTTCTATGAAGAAAAATAAAAAACTCATGCAAAATTTAACACATATTGATTCAATAAAACATCTAAAAAACAAACATAAAAAGGATTAGTGGCCAAAAACATTGTGGAGCAAGGTCTGGACTCCATGATCTGCAAAAAGGAAGGAGCTTAGATTTTCCAGTGTTTCTGTTCAGGCATTTCTTCACAGGGATTGGCATCTACTACAACAAAAAAACTCACTTTTTACACAATTGCCCCCAATAAAAGCTGAGAAAAAAATCAATGGCAGCAATGTTTATTTCTTTCAAACCCATTAAGCTATGTGTGGCTTCTGTAACTCTAAATATAACTTGTAATGACATGTAGTTATAATTGATGGTGATATTCCAGGAACTCCAGGCTTAATAGTTAGGCTTATTTAAGGTAAATAAGGGAGAAACATGTGTAGACCCAATGAGTTTATTTTATAAATTCAAAGTTGGT